AAAAAATGTCAAATCACTGAGCATTACTCAGGTCACTTTCACTGTGAATCTAAATTGGGATAAACACATACAGTCTGCATCACTAACAAGACTAAGATTTCTGAGATGCAACCTGTCATCTTGCACCTGAAAAGTTAAAGCCCAACCATACAGTATACAGCCTTAAGTAAGACCAACCCTAGGGTATGCAGCCACATGCTGGGACCTTTATACATCAGAACAGGTCCTATCTATATTGAAAATGTCCAGCGCAGGGCTGCCAGATATGTGTTTAATGACCACAGATCTAGAGAGCCTGGTTGTGTATCCAATATGATCGGATCACTTAACTGGAAGCCCCTAGCTCCATCCTACTTGTTAACATCAAGTGATAGGAGAACACGAGGGGCTAACAGAATCAAATTAACCAAATACTCTTTCCCCGCACACCCCAGGACTATTGTAAATTGGAATTCTCTACCAATTAAATTCTCTAGCATAGGAGCAAAACCTAAATTCTTTCAGATGTGCCCTTGCTAGTTTCAACTTACGTATCCTAAAGAATTACCTGTTTTTATCTTACAGTGAAAAATACCAAAAATATTTGTTTTTAATGCCACCTCGCAGGATCAAATGCACTCAAACCTTTGAGTCTGATCCTTCATATGGAAGAAGAAGAATGTTGGATACTAGGATGTCTAAACAACAACTTTTTCTGTGATCCTATCGCAATTATATGTTGACATCTGCGCTGCAACCCACTATATGGACATAACAAGCAGAAATGCATTTCATTTGAGTATGAAAGCAAAAAGTCTTGTGACGTAACATGTGGTTTACTTATGACGTCATAGATTAAATGTAGCTTCGCTTCGGATACCATGAAGAATGCCCTTACCTCAAATGCTTAGATGACTACTGTCAATTATTGGCGCCAATTTAATTTGAATAGGGCTCCAATGTCGCTTAAAGGACGACACTTACAAAAAGCGCAGGAAATTAATTAATTATTTAAGAACAAATAAAAAAAATGAAACAATTGTTCTCTAGTATAAATGTAAATATATGGATTGAATGGTGTTTTTATTTTTTAAATTTTCATGCCGGTATGAACACAAATAAGTTACATCCATATTAAACATGAAGCCCGTTAATATGTTAAAGTTGACAATTGCCACAGACTTGTATTGACAACAATAAAAAGAAGGGAAATTATTAATGGCAAACAAATACAACAGGATAAGTACTGATTGATGACAATACTGATATCCAGAGAAAATTGACAGCAATAATTATAAACACATTGATATATATCAGAAAACATTGACACAAATAGGCCTAAGCAACATTCGTATCAATATAGACAATACAGGGCTATATTAGATAACATTGATGACAAGCAGTATTGTAGCGGAACTGGACTGGGTTTGATCATTATGTGACCAGGTACATGTAGCTCATATGGTAGAGTGTTCATCTTGAGGTCGGAGGGCCTGGCTGTGCATTTTTCCGCTTTCATTACGTTTGGTGATGTGACCAGGATTCAAACCTGGGTTGTTGCGGGGCGAGTACAAAACCCGGAATGCACTCAGGCGTTGTTGAAATTTTGTATATATTAGGCCATATCTCCTATATAATATATAATGGATTTTCATTCGGAGACCAGCCTAGGAAAGATAATCTTATACCGTTACAATGATATAAGTTATGTGCAGTAAGTTATGTATTGAGGGAGATATGGCTGAATATATACAAAAAAATATCAAATATATCTTCACGCCTGAGTGCATTCCAGGTTTTGTCCTCACCCTACTTACCACTGCCTATAGTCCATCACAGCATTTTTAGCTCACCTGGACCGAGGCGAGTTGGGGAATTGAGTGGGCGGCACCTCGACGATACACACCACTCCCTACTGCGGCATCCGGCGTCCGTCCGTCAACTTTTTCTTTTGAACGACTTCCTCTGAAGAACTGTAGGACCTAGGGTCATGATATTTGGCCAGTAAGTACCTGGGATGGAGTGCTATAAACTTTCCTCATTAAAATGACCTTGACCTACTTTCAAGGTCACAGCGGTCAAATATGTGAAAAAATCAAACAATAAAATCCTAAGAACCATCTGAACTAGAGTCATGATACTTGGTTATATTATGTAGACCAGCAGTGCGAATATTTTTCTCAATTACAGTAATGGATCAAAGGTCAACTTTAAATGCTAGTCGAGGGTCAAATGTCAACTTTGGTTAAAAGCTTTAACAATCTTCTTCTCAAGTTCCATACGGCCAAGGGTCATGATATTTGGCCAGTAGGTACCTGGGATGTAGTGCTATAAAGTTTCCTCATTAAAATGACCTTGACCTACTTTCAAGGTCACAGCGGTCAAATATGTGAAATATTTCAAACAACAATATTCTAAGAATCATTTGAACTCGAGTCATGATACTTGGTTATATTATGTAGACCAGCAGTGCGAATATTTTTCTCAATTACAGTAATGGATCAAAGGTCAACTTTAAATGCTAGTCGAGGGTCAAATGTCAACTTTGGTTAAAAGCTTTAACAATCTTCTTCTCAAGTTCCATACGGCCAAGGGTCATGATATTTGGCCAGTAGGTACCTGGGATGGAGTGCTATAAAGTTTCCTCATTAAAATGACCTTGACCTACTTTCAAGGTCACAGCGGTCAAATATGTGAAATATTTCAAACAACAATATCCTAAGAACCATTTGAACTAGAGTCATGATACTTGGGTATGTTATGTACACCAGCAGTTCGAATATTTTTTTCAGTTACCGTTATGAGGTCAAAGGTCAACTTTAAATGCTAGTCAGGGGTCAAATGTCAACTTTGGTTAAATAATTTAACAATCTTCTTCTCAAGTTCAATAAAGCCCAGGGTCATTATATTTGGCCAGTAGGTACCTGGGATGGAGTGCTATAAAGTTTTTTAATTAAAATGACCTTGACCTACTTTCAAGGTCACTGGGGTCAAATATGTGAAAAACTTCAAAAAACAATATCCTAAGAACCATTTGGACTAGAGTCATGATACTTTGGCATGTTATGTAGACCAGCAGTGCAAATCTTTTTCTCAATTCGGTAATGAGGTCAAATGTCGTTTTTAAATGCAAATTGGGGTCAAAGGTCAACATGGGTCAAAGGCTTTAACAATCTTCTTCTCAAATTCGATAAGGCTCAGGGTCATGATATTTGGCCAATAGGTACCTGGAATGAAGTCCTATAAAGTTTTCTTATTAAAATGACCTTGACCTACTTTCAAGGTCACAGGGGTCAAATATGTTAAAAATTTCAAACAACAATATTCTAAGAACCATTTGGACTAGAGTCATGATACTTTGGTATGTTATGAAGACCAGCTGTGTGAATTGTTTTCTTTATCACAGTAATGAGGTCAAAGATCAACTTTAAGTGCAAGTTGGGAGTCAAAGGTAAATATGGGTTAAAAGCCTTAAAATTAAAATTTCAAACAACAACATCTTCAGAATCGTTTAAGATATGTTAAAATGTCTTGTGTTCTAGTTACCAAATTTAGTCTTAAGTTACCTATATGTCAATTGCATGTAACAAAAGAAACAGGTGAGCGATACAGGCCCTCTGGGCCTCTTGTTCTGTTCCTATTAATGTTAAAATATCCTCATTTAGTGTAAACAGGTCACATAGTAACGAGATACAGCTTAACAAGATGCCCAGAGGGCCTGTATCGCTCACACCTGTTTCTTTTGTTACATGAATTACACTGACATATAGGTAACTTAAGGCCAAGTTTGGTAACTAGAACACAAGATATTTTAACCTTAAAGCTTTTAACCCACGTTGACATTTGACTCCAGCTAGCACTTAAAGTTGACCTTTGACCTCATTACTGTAATAAAAAAAACCGAATCACACAGCTGGTCTATGTAACAAAGTATCATGACTTAAGTCCAAATGGTTATTCAGATATTTTTGTTTGAAGTCTTTAACATATTTGACCCCAGTGACCTTGAAAGTAGGTCAATGTCATTTTAATGAGGAAATTATATAGCACTCCATCCAAGGTACCTACTGGCCAAATATCATGACCCTGGGCCTTATGGAACTTGAGAAGAAGATTGTTAAAGCTTTTAACCCATGTTGACCTTTGACCCCTGCCTCGCATTTAAAGTTGGCCTTTAACATCATTACTGTAACAAAGAAAAAGTTTTGCACTGCTGGTCTACATATTGTACCTAAGTATCATGACTTAAGTCCAAATAGTCTTTAGGATATTGTTGTTTGAAGTTTTTAACATATTTGACCCCTGTGATCTTGAAACTAGGTCAAGGTCATTTTGATTAGGAAACTTTATAGCACTCCATCCCAGGTACCTACTGGCCAAATACCATGACCCTAGGTCTTCCTGTTCTTCCGAAGAAGTCGTTCAAAAGAAAAAGTGGACGGACGGACGACGGACGCCGCAGTACGGAGCTAATAAAATGTCTGCTCGGAAATAGATAGTCCTATAGGCCTATAACGCACGGAAACATATGACAAGTCTTTAGAAATAATTTAAACAACAACACTGTATCAACAATAAAAACAGATATTGAAATTATATCTGACAATATGGTGGCAATTTATAGCAGAGACAACATAATTACATTGGTGATGGTGGCAGCAATATAACAGCTATTGTTGAACATAGAAGGGTAATGGTAGAGGTGTCCCGGATAATAAATCAAGATGTTCCGATGGACTCTACTTTCAGTTTGCTCCAAAGTCTGCTAAAGTCTTGATCAATATATATTTTACTTACATTAACATGTTTTGTAAAATCATGTGGTTACATAAGATAAAACATTGAAATATGAACAATATAAGTAAAATGTCACAAAATCAATTTGTAATTCAATCTCATAATTAAAGAGTTATCTCCCCTTCGAACAACGAAAACTTCCGGGAATCATATGAGCAACATGAGTTTGTTGTTAGGACAGTGGATGGTATTGGTATGCTGAAATCATAAGTAAGGACCAATACCATGGAATTATAATTACTTCGATCATAAATGTGTGTGTTTACAGATTCGAGTCCAGTGCAGAAGAGATCACAGTCATCATCATACGAAATAGTCTAGATCAGACTGAAGTAAAGTGTCTGTTCACAGGTAGCTGGCCTACAGTACATGTACAAATGTAGGTGTATTGACAGACGAGGCTAGTACCTGTGATCTGTTATGTTGTGTCACAAGCATTCAATTGGGCGAGGGAAATCGTTTTTGTTTATTTAAACCCGATCTCTCACGGCATTGATAGGTATGTAAACAAGCAAAAACGATTTCACTCACCTTATCTCCCCATAGGAGCCTGAAGTTCTGTCAATAATGAATAATAATAGTAATACAAAAAAATACCCCTAATATGCTCTATTTTTTAAGCATATTAGGGGTATTTTTTGTGTACTACTATTATTATTCATTATTGACAGAACTTCAGGCTCCTATGATCTCCCTCAGGCCATCTAACAGAGTCTGTGGTTAACGTTGGGTAACGGGTTGTTTCGCCCCAAATCCTGTTCGTCCTAAGGGTTGTTTCGCCCCAAATCCCGGTCGCCTTATGTTGTTTTGCCCTAAAAAAATATATTCTTTAAGTCATAAATATCATGTTAAAAGTTAAAAAACTTATCTTTCTCCTGAATCAAGATATAATTACGTGCCGGAAGATGAATAAGAATCTGTATATTATCACCGAAGCCGACAACAGATATATAATATCCGGAATATACTGCATATTATCATTTTCATTTCATTACCTTAATTAAGTAATGTTGTTCTTTATAAAATGCACCTCTACATGTTTTAACGTTAAAAATATAAAATAGTAATACTTATACAACTTTTAACAATATATAAACAATTAAAAAGCACCCTAGCTGTCGTCATACCATGCTGTCTGCGTCTAACCCACAGAGTCGCACAAAATGCACATATCATCCATAACGTTATGTTGAATTATAACAAAATATTGAGAAATGCCCTATTTATGACAAGTTACCTACTCAAAATTATCTACTCAAATATGCATATGAATTTTTATTGGTCGGTACTATCAAAACTTCTCAAAATGATCTCCTCCAATTAGCAAAAAACAACACAAACGTGCGCAGAAATCAAGTAAAGAAAACATCGTCACACGGCAACGATTATGTGTACAATAGACTAAATGTGTTAACACGGAAAAATAACATTGTTGTATACCCCGCAATGTAATTAAAATTTCACCATGGCTCATTTCACTATTCTTATTTATTTCTAAAATTCAATTCAATATATGTTATAATGTGTGTCGGCGTGAAGAAAATAACGTTTTCCGTTTTTTTGCTTTACAATATACTTAAAAACAACACAAACACTTTTTTTTTTAAAATAAAACTGATTTTAATGATATGGAAGACTAAGAAGACTTAATTTGCGACTTAAAACAAATAAAAATCAAAAGAAAATACCAAACAATGTTTCGCCCTAAAAAAAATGTTTTAGGGCGAAACAACCTAGCGCGAAACAACCTAGGGCGAACAGGATTTGGGGCGAAACAACCTGGAACCTTAACGTTGTACGTTTTGACAAATTTATGTAGTAAAACTTTAAGACTGCATCACAGAGATTCGTTAAAATGCCTTAAATACACACCTTCTTCACTCTGTATGTTTATCAGTGTAGAATACTTAATTTGTTTTACAGCAGTTATGAAATAAGCTGGATCAAGTTGTATTAATCATTCTTCTTGGCCTGGATGTCAGTGCGCAGGTTTTTCTTATACTTTTTAATGAGGGAGGAAACAGGAGTACCCAGAAAATCCCCACATTGTCAGGCAGGAGACCTCATACCTTTTATGTTTGGTTTTCGGAATCAAACCCCAGCTGTCTTGGTGAAAGGCAAATGCACTATATGTATATCCAGTAATCCCCTGCACCACCTGTTCTACCAAATATACAGAAGATATCTCTAAGAGCTAAGCGGAACTGGACAGTCTGACTGGGTCGATATTTGGTGAATGGGTAGCTCAATAGGTAGAGCCTCTGTCTAAAATTTAGGAAGGTTTCAGGTTTGAATCCCGGTCTTGCCGTTACATTGATTTCTCTTTCTCCTGTTACAAGAGCTATGTACTTGTGACTGGAAACTTGTACTTGTACACTGCAAGTCCGAGGGGATTGATTTTAGGATGTGTTTAAAGCCAAGGTGATGAAACTGACATGATTTGTTTAACTCAACTCACACCACAAAATGATTTGGAAATGTTGTGGAATGGTGACCCTCCCCCCATTCCCCCATCCAGAAAAATATCTAGATGTGCTTGTCAGTACCTGTTTATACACATACCTATCACAAAATAAATTTCTCTTTTCATCATTTTAGAATTGCAATGGAACAGGAGGAGGACCTTGAGCGTGCTAGGGTGACAAGTATATCTGTCTTACCTCAGCATCAGAGAACATCACTGACTAACTCCCACGGGTCAGCAGGGGTCATCCATCGCCTGGAAAGCAGTACTGCCTCAGTGAAGCTAACTGGTAGTATCCTAACGGGATTGTCAGACTCCGAGGAGGAGTTCACATCCTCTGGAGGTGAATACGACGAGCACCAACACAGAGAGGAATTTAAGTCTGAACTTCACCATAAAGAACACAGTGGCTTGCCGGATGAGAGGAGCTGTATTAGTTCTAATGTATTATGTGATGATGAGAATGCATGCCACGGGGAAAACTCACGTAATGATACAGAGAATTCTCGCTCCTCCAGTCTGTCAGAGGAGGAACTGAAAAAAGACTATGAGAAAAAACGATTTAATCCATTTGACAATGACATTCACATAGAGGAGGATTACTTCAACACATCTGCAATCACCTCCTCAAACAGAAACCAGAGGAAACAGTCAGGTGAGACTCGGGTATTATTTCCTCAGTAATCGAATATTAAGTTAATAATGAGGTTAATTAGCTTAAACAGATCACAAGCAATTGCACTTACATTATAAAAGGATTAACATAGTATAACAAGCTGATCTGGAATGGGTCGATTGCTGATGACAAATTAAAGTAGCTAATGATTAGTTGATTGAAGTGTCTGTCTAGAATTCAAAAGCTTGCACCCAGTCTGGCCATCACATTTTCTCCTTCCTAAAACACTTTGTTGAAGAAAGGGAAGAGTGCAGCAGAACTGGAATTGGTTATTTACTGGGAATGTTGCTAGAGCTTTGACGTCCTGCATTTGAATCTCAGCCTCATTGCATTTTCCCTCTCCTTTTTTACATTTCATCTTGCTTGAGTGTCCACCATCATGATGACAATATTGTATGATATTAAAGTAAAAATATATCACAGATGTTTATCATCCTTTGTATGGTTTGGTTCTGTAGGTAGCTATCCGATGATGAATAAAGTACAAATATTAAACATCGACTACAAATCTTGAAGTTATATGGTAATGGACAAATTGATAAGTGATCAATATCACTGATCTGTCCAGTTTGTAGGATGTCTGTAATTTTGTCACACGTCTAACTACTTCTGTCTTAACTCTGTTTTATTTGTCCTGTTCACAGAAACCAGTTCATCATTGATGAACCTGTCTGATGACGATGCTGCCGACGTAACATATGCAGATTTAGGTTTAGCAGAGGACCACTTCTCACACCCCGAGGTTTAATTACGACATCTATTACATTCATATACAGTTGAATTTCAGATAGATCACTTCAAACATTAAGATAAGTTATGTTTACCAAAATAATATGTTAAGGTATAGAAAACACTATTTCCGAAGAAGACTTGATTGTTGACTTTTGAAATCAGCAGAGCTTCACTTAAAGGCTATGAAAAGGATAGGGTAGGTAGCTAGATTTTTTTTTTTTTTTTTAAATAAATATATTTGCTTATTTTTAAATAATCTATTTTTACAAAAAAACAGAGTGCCTGACTTCAGCAGTGCTTGTTGAAAATTTACAAGAATAAATGTAGGGTGGGTACCAAAACCTAGGTTACATATACATGTAGGTAGGGTTATCAGAAAAACAGATACATGCATTCTTACTTGATTGTCTTCAATAGCTTAAACTTTGCCAGTAATATTTGGTCTTTTAAGTACTTTTTTAGACATTTTAGATTTTGTCACCCAATCTGTTTCCCATGAAAAACTTAAAAAGGTTGGAAAGGATGAAAAACCATCAGCCAAACAGATTAAAGGACTAAACAACAAATGACATTGACCTCTGACAGAATAACCTCCATACAACCACAATGCTGCAGGTGTCCACCTCTTACTGAGCATAAAACCTGAAGACATCTGTTGATGATGAGGCTAAAAAAAGTGAAATTAAAGTTTGGAAACAAAATCATGCCATAAAATGCCTTGTCAAGGTGAATAAAGCAGGCATATTTAAATGATGGATTAAGATTTGAGAGATACGTGTACTAATGTGACTGTCAGGGACACTTTACTTTAGCTTGAGAAGTATTATGACATTATGTCTCTCTTAATATGACACTTTGCCCTAAGTAGTGTTATTACATGGTCTCCTGTTTTGATTCTTAGGGACATTTTGGCCTGAGCAGTACGGAGGAGATGGAGATGGCTATAGAGAACTGCAAGGATATGATACTACAGGTACCTCAGGATTCAGACAAACAGAAAAACCTTGTACAAAAACTGGTACAACTCAGACTGAAGCTGCAAGAAATCAAGGTACATGTAAATTGACATTGTTCTGGGTACGTCATTATATTAATGTAAATATAGAGGCAGTCATGCCTGCAAACACTTATACCCTATTAAATTTTATTGAATGGAGTCAGGAACTAGGCTAGAGATACAAAAAATAAGAAAAGAAGAAAAGAAATTTGTTTTCCTAATTTTTCAGTGTTATATGTGTAAATGAAAATCTGTTTTGACATACATATAATGTGATTATGTAATATTTCATCAATTTTGGATTGACTTACAAGGACACTTTTACTGCATTGTTTAATATTTAAACTTAAATCTAAGTCAGTTTCATATTCCTAGGCTCAGGTGTGTTTATTCCCTCTAAACTGTATTATACATGCATGTTAACAGGAGGGACCAATACCTATTGAAGATGATGTTAAACTGGCAGTCGGCCATAAATTTAAATGTCAGATCAGCAGCAGCAGCAAACACTACTGTGAGAAGTGTAACACCATGATTCTGGGAGTGATACAGACCTGGTTTAAGTGTACAGGTATGTAGTCATGGTAATAGTTAATGTATCAAGTCATGGTAACAGTTTGTGTGTAGTCACGGTAACAGTACATGTATGTAGTCATGGTCACAGTACTGTTACCAAGACTATATACAATGTACATGTAATGTTACCATGACAACGTACATCAATACATGTGTATAGTCATATTAAGTTTTTATTTACTATGTTATCATGATAACAGTACATGAATGCTGTCATGGTAGTAGAACATGCATTTTGTCATGGTAACAGTTTATGTATGTAGTCATGGTAACAGTTTATGTATGTAGTCATGGTCATAGTACATGTATGTTGTCATGGTAAAAGAACATGAATTTTGTCATGGTAACAGTTTATGTATGTAGTCATGGTAACAGTTTATGTATGTAGTCATGGTAACAGTTTATGTATGTTGTCATGGCAAAAGAACATAAATTTTGTCATGGTAACGGTCTATGTATGTAGTCATGGTAACAGTTTATGTATGTTGTCATGGCAAAAGAACATGAATTTTGTCATGGTAACGGTCTATGTATGTAGTCATGGTAACTGTACATGAATGTTGTCATGGTAAAAGAACATGAATTTTGTCATGGTAACGGTTTGTGTATGTAGTCATGGTAACAGTATATTAATGTTGTCATGGTAAAAGAACATGAATTTTGTCAAGGTAACAGTACATGTATGTTGTCATGGTAAAAGAACATGAATTTTGTCATGGTAACGGTCTATGTATGTTGTCATGGTAAAAGAACATGAATTTTGTCATAGTAACAGTTTATGTATGTAGTCATGGTAACAGTACATGAATGTTGTCATGGTAAAAGAACATGAATTTTGACATGGTAAAGGTTTATTTATGTAGTCCTGTTAACTGTAAAGGAACTTTAAAATCATTATGATCTCCCCGTATTTGTTTTTTTCTATTATGTCATAATGTTGTAACAAGATTAAAGCAATCCTCTGAAAATGTCTGAATAGTTTGAAAAAGCAATAATCATCTCATTTTTCCTTGCTGGTTTTTTGAATGATAAACATATATTTTACATATAGTAAGTAAATAACGAAAGCTTATGATCATAGCCCTAGTAGATGAATATGAGTTTGTCTTTTTTTTATATATTTTTTTTTAATATTTATTTTGTCTTCTTTTCAATTCAGAATGCGGCTATTGTGCTCATGAAAAGTGCTTAAACATGATCACACGGACATGTGCAAGTCTCAAAGTAAGTACCATAAACTGTTCCTTATGTACAATGTATCGGAGTAATATAACTGCTCTCACAGGGAAAGAGTGTAAACTAGTTCTGTAATGTCTGGTGTCTGGTATCAGGTTGTACACTGGTATCAGGTTGTACACTGGTATCAGGTTTTACACTGGTAGCAGGTTGTACACTGGTATCAGGTTTTACACTGGTATCAGGTTTTACACTGGTATCAGGTTGTACACTGGTATCAGGTTGTACACTGGTAGCAGGTTTTACACTGGTAGCAGGTTGTACTCTGGTATCAGGTTGTACACTGGTATCAGGTTGTACACTGGTATCAGGTTGTACACTGGTATCAGGTTTTACACTGGTAGCAGGTTGTACACTGGTATCAGGTTTTACACTGGTATCAGGTTTTACACTGGTATCAGGTTGTACACTGGTATCAGGTTGTACACTGGTAGCAGGTTTTACACTGGTAGCAGGTTGTACACTGGTATCAGGTTGTACACTGGTATCAGGTTGTACAATGGTACTTTGTTTTGCCACTATACCCCTTTTTACTTGCTTGGAAGTTCAGCCACCATACAAAGAGAGTTGCTTGCTGGGAAAATTTGTGGATTACAGAGTTAAACATTTATGAGTTGAACCTTGTTAAGCTCAGTCAATATTTGGACTAGAATACCGGATTCAGCTTGGTAGGTAACTTGGAATACTGGGTTCATGACCAGGACAACACGAAATGTTGAAAAGCTTCTCTAATAGAAATCTCAGTAAAAAGCCACTATTATATTTTGTATTATTGAGTTTCCAAATCTTTTACAGGTAATGGAAAATCCTACGTATACCAATGATATATGTCCTACACGGGGCCTGTCCTTCCAGAACTACAGGTGTGCAGAATGCAGGGCCCCAATATCATTTAGTAAGTTACCATTCATGGTTATGTGGTTGTAAGTATCACTCCACTGTGTTGTGGCCTACTGTAAACTTTTTCGCATAGCTCAATTTTTTTCTAACAAAAGGAAAAACATAATAAAAAATTGTTCAGAGTATTTAAATTATTTCATTTTGCATTTCACATTTTGTTGTTGTTGCAAGAATAGAAAGTTTTGTGTCTATTCAAACGTCTTTGATTAACCGGATCGTTAACTTTACTATATTTTACCTTGTATATATCAGAGCCTGGATTCAGTGAACCACGACTGTGTGATTACTCGGGTAACTATTACTGTGAACTCTGTCACTGGAATGATACCATGGTGATTCCTGCTCGGGTCCTCCACAACTGGGATTTTGAACCTAGAAAGGTATTTTTTTTATTTCACACAAAACATTTTCTTCCATGATTCCCTACCATAGGTATGACTATGTTTACATAGAAATTTTTGTACAGATATACAGAAACTTTACCTGATTTTCTATAACACAGATACGGATAACTTACTAATCTTCTGGATCTATATATTATTATACAATATGCATAAAACACGAAACTAAACCCATTCAAGAAGTTACAACAGACTAGAAGTAATTACAGTCCAAGCAGATTCAAGCAATTCAATTTAAAAAGGATCCAACTTTAAATAGATCTATATAAAAGAACTTGTAAAAATAAATAAACCACAGTTCTATTTGTTATAAAATCAATAGCTTGTACTCAATGATGAACTAAACTTCTTTGACGTTTCAGAATATCTGCTGGGCTTTTGCATTGTATTTAGCACAGTGCTATATCACTATAGGAATTAGTTTTTTCCTTTAAAAACCTACACTGATTTGACCAATTTCAGAACGAAATTCAGGGCTGTTCATCATTATCACAACTCTGCATTTTGTACATTGTGCCTGTGTACAATGTGGAGTGGTACAGTCAAACAGTTCCCTAACATTGATATAATCGCCATACAATTCTTTATTTGTTTCAAGCCTTCCTCCTTCAGACGATCAATACAAACCCTCCCTGTAGCTTTGACATAAAAATGTTTTACTGTGCAGGTATTGTCAATCATTGTACCCGGCGTAGATTGCCCTAAATTACCTGTTATTTTGTTGTGTCTGGTATTTAATTAATACAGGTGTGTAGAGCATCAAAGCAGTACCTGAAATTGATGATGACGAAGGCTGCCATGCAAATACAAGATGTCAATCCCATGTTGTTCAGCTTTGTTGACGAAATTAATGAAATCAAGGTAAAAATTCAAATAATTTTTAAACTGCTAGAGAGTAAAGTGCCTTCATTGTACTTGTATCACAGATGTGGATATAATCTGTCCTAGCTACATTGATCAGCACAATACTTGTTTAGGGCAATATTGTTGTGGGTCAGTAATCTTAAGTATCCAATGGGGTAGACCAAAATGATTCCCTAAATAGTATATTAAGGTTTCTTTGTATAAAGTTTCCAAACATTTAGTTTTTACCAGACAATCTTTTATCTGCTGTGAAGTTCATTATACAAGGTTTGTTTTGAAATCATTTCTATTTCATTAGTTTTCTATGAATTATAATGTTAAATACAGCAAATTCTCATGATATTTTCACTATTTGTCTGACAATATATGGCAGTATAAGAAGAGGGTGATGTTTAGAAGTATTTTCAATTGTAAGGAAAAGAGATCTGTGAACAAGTCGGCAATAAGGGAGGAGGCAAATGAAATGAGAGGCAGTACTTTATTGAAGTTTGAATGTAAATTAAAAACAGGAAAGCTCATGTTAGGGTATAACTCTTGTCATGTAAAATACCAACTCTTCGTAGTTATCATAGGTACTCAACAACTTTTCTTTGTTCACTTCCAAAACATTATAATTGACTGTAACCAACTGTGTTTTTAGGTCACCTGAGCTTTAGCTCAAGTGACCTATTGCTATCCGTCTTCGTCTGTTGTCGTGCGACCTGCGTCGTGCGTCGTCCGTTAACATTTTACATTTTCAACTTAAGCTGAAATACTGTCAAAGGGATTTCATTGATACTTCATGGGAATGTTACTGACAACTCCCTAAACAAGTGTTGTTATTTTTCGGGTCGATCAGAAATCCAATATGGCCGCCAAGGCCGCCATTTTGAAAAACTATTTCAAACTTAAAGTCAAGTTCTACTGGGCTGGTTTAACTGAAACTTGGTAGGAATGATCGACTTATAGTCCTGACAATAAGTGTTGTTATTTTTCGGGTCAATCAGAAATCCAAGATGACCGCCAGGGCCGGCCATTTTGAAAAACTATTTCAAACCTAAAGTCCAGTTCTACTGGGCCGATTTAACTGAAACTTGGTAGGAATAATCAACTCATAGTCCTGACAAAGTGTTGTTATTTTTCGGGTCAATTAGAAATCCAATATGGCCACCAAGGCCGACCATTTTGAAAAACTATTTCAAACCTAAAGTCCAGTTCTACTGGGCCGATTTAGCTGAAACTTGGTAGGAATAATCAACTCATAGTCCTGACAAAGTGTTGTTATTTTTCGGGTCAATTAGAAATCCAATATGGCCACCAAGGCCGACCATTTTGAAAAACTATTTCAAACCTAAAGTCCAGTTCTACTGGGCCGATTTAACTGAAACTTGGTAGGAATGATCAACTCATGGTCCTGGCAAAAGTGGTTTTTTTTGGGTCCATCAAAAATCAAATATGGACGTCATGGCTGCCATTTTGGAAAAAACTATTTAAAATTTAAAATCAAGTTCTAATAGGTCGTATTAACTGAAACTCGGTCTAGGAATGATCAACTCATTGTCCTGAAAAACTTAAGTTAAAGTTATACTTAACTTTTTTTTACTCAAATTTTGGTAGGGATGATTGACATCATTATCTCCACTTCATATTTCAACAACAAAAATTAATACTGTAGGACTCAGGTGACCGTTAAGGCCCATGGGCCTCTTGTTAATCTCACCAACTGTAAGGCTTGGAAGTAAAATTGCACTATAAATTTTGTGCTTAATTATGATTGTGAGAGTTTTTGTATGAAGTTTTCTCCGTTTTTTACATGTTATGAGAACCCTAAAATTGGGGTGATTAAAAAAGTATGTTTATCGTGTACACTATGAGAAAAATTAAATTAATTGGGCTGTATACAATGTTATTGGATGAGTTCCATTGATGTTTCCCTCATGGCTGACATTCATGTAACATGATCATTAGACCATGTTAAGAAGCAAACATTAAGATGACCTAAAGCTGTTCCAGGAATGTTAACTCACCGTTATCAACGTCATACCATATGTTGTTTGCGTTAATATAGTTAATGTACTGAATCTTATACATTTTGAAACAATTTTTTTCTGTATTTCACATGAAAACGCAACATATTTAGATGGTTTACTGCGATTTGGATGTACCAATTTGCATTTATACTGGCGTGAATGTTAAAAACTCTGTTCAATCCCTATCTCTGCGAATCATTTCATATGTTCCCAATTAGAAACTGAGAGAGGAGATCCTGATAATGAAGAAATACCTGTTGGTGTGTGGGGATGCTATGAAGCAGAAGTTTCTCTTGCTGCTTCGAGATCGCCAGCATTTTGTGGAGAACTGGGACACATACTCCATGAAAGACCTCCTGGAAATTCAGTCTGATGTCCTCCTTGGAAAACTTGTGTCTATTCATGCTGCCTGGGCACAACACATCAAAACTGACTGTCAGGTATGGCTTCCTTTTACTGGGACTATTTATTATTTCTACTACATTTGGAGCTGTTTATTATTTTCGAAAGTTAAGATGTTCCTGGAAGGTGTTGTCGTGTAAGTCTTGCGGGAGCCTGGAAATGTTTAACAATGAGTATTTTCCCACGGAATTAGAGTATATAGAGCAACGGAGGGTGTTATCGACAGGGGGGTATTATCGCCCCCCCGTTCTATTCATCTCGTTTTAGATCGATTACAAACCATTTTTCAGACAATCAGTGGTTTTGATAAGTACACTTACCTTTTTTGGAATCCCTCTGAACCGTTCCATTCAGATAACACCGGCTAAACAAATTTTCTGAATTTTTTTTTCCGAAGAGAAGAATTGATC